TTTGTGCTAGCAATTTCATACATGACAAAAACTGCAAGCAACCACCTAGTGACCTAGTTGACAGAACCTGCTTGAATAAACCATAGTACAATGGTTGAGTTGTAACAAATCCCTGATGTCACTGAAGACCGTGGATGGGTCACTTAGCCCTGTGCCATTGACTGATGTACCCTTGCATATTTCATCATATTTCGCTCTTACCGGTTTGCCCCGTTATATCCACTATATCCTCTGTTGGCTACTGATTTTTTGCGATGTTGCCATGCGAGAATGATAGCCGCTTGCTACCCCAAAAATCTTACTTGTGCTGTTGCGACAACGGACCTTTCACACCCAGCCTTGCAGGGATCCAGCGATCTGTTTGCATTGTCTCAACTACGGATGCGGCATGAACTCGCTTGCCTCGTTTACCGTACGTTTGTTTACGAAGCTACTGAGGCTGAAAGTTCGGCGACTCAATCCAGACTACTCAGAGAGCAGGTGTCCCAAAGAGCCCCAGCAGCAGATCGACAATCAGGGTTTACGTTTGAAATCATTTTGAAACCAGATGCACACACACTCTCTTTGATATCGCTACAGATTGTTTTACGTAGTTTTAGCCTGACAGTGTAACCTCAAGACTTGTGACTTGGGATATCAATATCTTTGTATTTTTGCTTGCATTGTAGTGTGGGCGGCGAAACTTACGTGCTTATCCATGTTGAGGTTTGGGCAATCTTGGCCTTCTCCTTGACACTTGCACCTAGTCAGGGTGTGGGAGTCAAGCAGCACCCTATAGTGACGTGTGCATTTGTATCATTTTGTAGCATATTTGTCTGTCACAGCATCGGCAAGACCACGACCTGGAAGTCATCAGAGAGGATGGGGGAGATGGAACTCAGTCCTCACGGAGCCACTCAAGTGGGAGATGTGGGAGAGTTGCAGTGAGGCTGTGATGTTGCTCTTCTTGTTCACGGCTATTCTGATCTTATTCTTTTTCTTGAACCTGTCGCTAAATTGCATCGATGCACAGGGGTGTGCAAGAAGAGGCATTCATATAAAGAATATGACAGAATTTACATCACATTAAATTCTGATGACTCGTTGCTGTTCGAAAATAGTCGTGAAGGAGGTGCCATCGAGACAGCAATTGGTGCTAGCCAAGGAAATCTCATTTGATCTATGTTTGGGGTGATTGTTTGCGACAAGGGTGTAACAACCCGGTGCAACTTGTCAGCACGATTCTCCAAGCTTGCAGGCTTGCCAAGCCGATCACTGAGTCATGGAGCCTCTAATGATACAAAAAAAAATCGCATCCCATCGCCCATGGTGTTTGAGGCAAGTGCACGGGCTAGCAGGCTTCCTTGCAGATATCTCAGCAGATATTTCACTCGCATTGGTCTTTGTCGTGCTGACACTCATTTGCAAATATGATCTTGGCTGATTAGGTGATCTGAAAGCATTTGACTACCTCAGGATCAGCTGTAACATGCTGTCACGCACTTTCAGACGCTACATTACTACCGTGCCAACATTGTTCGAGGGGTCTGCTTGCCCACAGTTAGGGTTTGCTTGCTGACAGTTAGGGTTTTCTTGACCTGACCCATGCAAAGGTTGGGGGAGGTTTGCAAAGGCCTTGCGTCTCAACTTGCCAAGCTTTGGAACTTCAAGGCTGGATGTAGAATGGCAACATATGGCAACGTGTATTGTCACATAATCTCCTTTTGATCATGGCCACTGTTGCAAGAGAGTCCATGTAGAGTTTTGGTTGGTGTATGTTGGTGTGTATTCCTGAAACACTTGAAACACTTGGGTCAGATTGAGCAGAGAATCTGACGCAACTTCCCCATGTCCTGCCGTGCAGTACATGCGACAACGGCAATACGTTCAAGCTATGCTGTCTCTTGGCATCGAGGTGCTGGCCAAGGCTGGGCTGGCCACGGTCCAGACACAAACTTGCCTAAGCAGTCTTAATGACTTAATGTTTGTTTGTAAAGGCCACATGATGTCACAAGATTAAGCCAATCGCCAATCGCTGACAATTTCCCCAAGTATCTCCAAATTATTTGTTACCACCCCACTACTCTTGGGCTTGAATCACCACAATTATTGGGGCATAGGGGTTGCCATGAGTTTAAGTGAGAACAATGTGATCATGTCATGAAACAACAAGAAGTTGGAGACCAAAATTGGGCCTTGGATCTCTGCAAACTGAAACTGAAAAACTGAAAAACTGAAAAACGCAAATTTATATATACAGATAATATCAGATAATTATATACACACATATATATATATATATGTATGTATATACTATATTTACATATATATATATATACGTATATAAGCGACACGGGAGCCAGTCTGATCCTTTAGAGAGTCCGTTTTTAAATTTTAAAGTTTCTAATCTATCCGGCAAGGTTAGCTATTCTGGCCGATCTGCGAGACATTCTTGCACTCCGCTGCCATAAACCTGTCCGAAGAGACCGCTAGCTAGGGAACCAAAAACTGGTGAAGAACAATGACAACTAAAAAAGCGAAAAACAACTGAAACATTAAAATCTGGAGAGGTGCCAGGCACGCTCCTATGTCCCCCAAAGGTTCTTTTTTCTGTGGCTTTAATAATGGTATAGACAGTATAGAATGAACATACGTACTCTTTGCGACTCTTTGGGTGCAGCAAACGCTGCCGAACAGGTGGGTGTTTTCTCCTTGTTCCTCGGCCGCAGTCGTTACACTTCAAAAGTGTGACCAGTTGCATTTGGATCATTTGAATGATTTCATATGATTTAACATGACTCAATATTATTTCATGATTTGAACATATTTGAAATTCATTTGAACCTCTTGATGGGGCTGGGATCGCCTTGTTTGTGAGTGTGCGTGCTCCAAGGATCGCGTTTGTTTTTCTTCCAGGCTGGATCTCTGATGCTGAAAAGGAGGTGGTGCCGAATGTGCAGGAAACTTGTTCCCGATATGTGGACTATCAGAGCCTCTTCTGCGCTTGTCCACGTCCCGAGAGAAGGAGAAAACACGCTCCTGGTGCTGTCTGTGTTTTTGCGTGTTTTTACTGATCAGTCACCGGGGGCCCCGTGCTGTGCATGCTGCAAGTACTGTTGCAGCTGCTGGGGGCACCACACCCAGAACTATTATTAGAATCTATTAATTAAATATAACATATATAATATAATATAATATAATATATATATATAATTATAGATGACATCGTATATGATGTAGATTTGTCATGATTTGCTGATTTATCCTCTTGAAAATGCAATGGCTGACTCCAGTTTTGGTGAAGTTGCAAAGATTGAAGAGCGGCTATTGATCAAAGAAACAAAGTTTTCAAACTGAAGAAATGTTTTACCCACAAATGAAACAATGAAGCCGAATAATTCACTTGCAGACTGAAGATTCTTCGCCAGCTCACTCACAAATTCATCAAGTATGGTACATACATAGATGCATGCATGCATGCATTGCGCATCCATCCATTGCATGCATGTACGCAGGCACGCATATCTATATACAGACGTTGTGACGTTGTGGCATTCCATGGTGCATTGCAGCGCGTCACAATTCACCCACCTTGGTCTAGCATTGTTCGGTAGGGTGTCACTCAAAATTGAGTCACGTGATGTCACGTGCGAATTCACAAACTTGCAGTCATTCAAACAGTGACTACTTGCTCTAACCAACCAGCCAACCACCCAACCACTCTCTCACTCAACAGCATAACACAGTTGCTATTCCTACATCTCTCTTCCCACATACTATCTAGCTTCCACAAAGAAACCGACCTCCGGCTCACATGTGATTTTTTGTTTTGCAGGTACCTGCTTGAGAGTGCTGTGGGTCATGGCCCACCTAAGGATCTGCACATGGATGTCTGAATGCTCCGAAGACGACCAATTCTGCTGCGCAGGTTGCTGTGCAGCGCTGCGCTTCTTACACTGGTTTTGCTTGCTGCTGAAGTGCAGGGATCTGCAACGCTGAGTTTCTCATCACCGATGGATAAACCAAGGTTCACTCCTTTGCGCAAAAGACCTCTTAACGTTTGAAGCTTGTTTGCAAGCGTACTCAATCGAAGCGTGTTGCATTGAAAACCTTGTTTGCATCGAACTTGTCATACTCTTATTTTCTCTTCTATTCTTAGGAGCAACGGCGAGATCTATTTCACTTATGGCTGATCGGCCCGTTTCTTGTGTGTCCGCATCCAAGTTCTTGTTTCAGAACTGGTGGACACCCTTGAACAGTGCATTCGCCAGCACGAATGAAGACATGCTCAGCTGGAGCCCCAGCATTCCCAAGTTGTTTGAGCATGTGGCTGTCATTGCAGGCCCCTTCGTTGACATGATTCCGGCAATTTTGGCGCCATTGATAGCCAAGCGGCTTTCCAGATGGGCTGATAATGTGTCTGAAAAAGCCCAGGCTGTTGCTACACTGCTGCACGTTGCTACACATCACTACACGTTGCCAAGTGGAGCGATAGTAGATGATTCGAGACTTTCAAGACACTTGAAGACACTTCAAGACACTTCAAGACCTCCAGACACGCCGGGATTTTCCTGGATTTTCAGGCTGTGAAGCGCCGGCTGTGGCAGCGCTGTTTGTCGGCGCCTGGATGGTTTTGCTGCTGTTGCTGTGGGAAGCCTTTGTCCCGCTTGAGTTCAAGCTGCAATTGGAGTTGTGTGAAACATTGTGAAACCAATACAGTTGGGTGCCGGCTACCTTACACATATCCTCTCAAGAAATGCCATGTGATTTCCCTGCCTGTGTTATCCGATTCCTCCTGTACAATATTCCTCAAGTTGCTTTGTCCTTTCTCGTTTGACGTCAAAGAGGAGTATCCCAATAATCGTGTTCACTGTGCACTTTCTGCCCAAAACCGCACGCCAGATATCGCAGTTCTGTCACTCAGGCTTGCCTTGATCTTTGTGCTTGATGGCGAAGTGACGGGCTTGCGTTGCTGGGTTTTATGAGTCTATGACAGTCTATGAGAATCTTTTTAACCTCTTTAGGGATGTTTAGGGTGCGAATGGGTGCAAGTATGTAGCTATACCCGGTCTTTTATGTCTTTTTGCCCTCTTGACATTCACTGTCATCCGCAAAGGACAACACATTGAAATCACATGAAGTCGGTTGAAGGGCCTCCAAAGCTCCAGAGGCAGCCCACCTGAGAACCCACATCCTGCTGCGACTTGCCAGGCTATGTTTGCCAGGGCCAAACCTTTGCCACTACCGAGTTGGACAAATCAGACAAATCGGATCCCGACGATGACTGCTGTGGCATGGCAATAGTTTGAAAGATTTTAGAATCTGATGAAGCTGCAAGTCGGGGGAAGGGACAGCCCAGATCAGCCCAGACTGCAAATAGGTCATACATGCAGGCCGTTCAATGCAGGAGCTGACCTCCTAGCTATTGGCCCTGCTTCGTTTGCTGTATGGATCTTTCGTAGTTTGTTTTGTTGACAACCCATTCCCTTAAGACGAAATCTCGCATGTTGATGCATATTGCCCCCCAAGATGAATAGGGTGTTTTATATTACAGGAAGGGCAACAGTTCGTGGAAGTCTTGGTCTGCAGGCGAGCGGTGTATCGACGGGCCTCTGGAACAAGTTGTGCTGAGAGAGTTTGATGCCCTGGATGAGCTGAAGGATTTCACAGCCACGGCCCACAGCTGGCATCGGCGGGCATTTGTGTACTGGGTATGTCAATCTTCTTTGATTGTTGTGCTTGCTGACAGGGATGTTGATGTCAATCAAACTTTGCCTAGTGGCTGCAAAGCAGTTCATAAGAAACGGATAAACAGAATGGCCGATGCTGCCAATGAGTTGAAATGCACAATCGTCAATTTATGCAGGACCTGAAACTCAATTTTCTCTTCGTAGTCCTGTTCGCACCTGTCGTACCATGGGCTATTATTCCAACACTCTTGGCGCGGGTCATGGAAGTGCGCTTGAAGATCACGAGCGCTGGCTGCACCGCAGGACATGCTTGTGAAATCCCTCAAGGTGTATGAGCTTGCCTTATGAGTACATAGCGATAAAGTGATAATTACATGATCAGGTTCAAACATGCTCAAGTCTCGAAAGGTAGCGGTGAGCTACCTGAGTTCCCCCTTGCGTAGCAAGTATTAGGGGGCGAGCGGTGCAAGTGCAAGAGTTTGGGCCGGTTATGTCTCGGTCCGCCTTTCAAGGGGGGGGGGGCCCCCCCCACCCTTCGATTCCCCCCAGGTCCGCCTCTAAAGCCGGGTTTGCAACATAGGCGGACTACAAGGAAACGCCAACAGCCGCACATGCACTTTCATCCACCACGTTTACATACATCCCCACCCCAACCGAAGTCAAGACCCGCACTGAAACTCGACAATGTCAGATTGCTCAAGAACTTTGTTTCGTTCACCCTAACAACCGCGATGAACAATGTCGTAGCAAGAACGTTGCGACGGACTGCGTTGCAGTAGTCTCAAAAATCGTACATGATATACCAGTAGTACCGCACAAGGCGGTGGCGGAAGTTTCAAAAATAGGAAACCTATAGGAGAGATTGGTTGTTGTGAATCAGAGATGGCAGAGCGAAGCCACTGCTGGACTGAAAGGCGATTGATCTCTCTCACTCTTGTCTACCTGTCTATCTATCTATCTATCTATCTATCATCTCTATCCATCTATCCATCTATCCATCTATCCATCTATCCATCTATCCATCTATCCATCTATTTATCTATCTATCTATCTATCTATCTATCTATCTATCTATCTATCTATCTATCTATCGATCTATCCATCCATCTATCCATCTATCCATCTATCGATCGATCGATCTATCGATCTATCTATCGATCTATCGATCTATCTATCTATCTATCTATCCTATCTATCCTATCTATCCTATCTATCCTATCTATCCTATCTATCCTATCTATCATATCTATCATATCTATCTATATCTATCATATCTATCATATCTATCATATCTATCATATCTATCATATCTATCATATCTATCTATCTATCCTATCTATCCTATCTATCATCTATCTATCATATCTATATATCTATCTATCATCTATCTATCTATCATATCTATCTATCTATCTATCTATCTATCTATATCTATCATCTATCTATCTATCCTATCTATCCTATCTATCATATCTATCATATCTATCATATCTATCATGTCTATCATATCTATCATATCTATCATATCTATCATATCTATCATATCTATCATATCTATCATATCTATCATATCTATCATATCTATCTATCTATCATATCTATCTTATCTATCTTATCTATCTTATCGATCTATCTGTCTAGCTGTCTACCTGTCTATCTTTTGTGCAGTGTCATTCAGTGTAATGTAGTGTAGTGTAATGTAATGTAGTGGAGTGTAGTTGTAGTTGTAGGTGGTAGTGGAGTGTAGTGTAGAGTAGTGTCGTGAAGTGTAGCGGCAGGTAGTGTAGTGTAGTGTAATGTAGTGTAGTGTAGTGGAGTCTAGTGTAGTGTAATGTAGTGTAGTGTAAGGTAGTGTAGTGTAGTGGAGTGTAGTTGTGTAGTTTTAGTTGTAGTGTTGTGGAGTGTAGTGTAGTGTAAGGTAGTGTAGTGTAGTTTAATGTTGTGTAGTGGAGTGTAGTGGAGTGTAGTTGGGTAGGTGTAGTTGTATTTGTAGTGTAGTGGAGTGTAGTGTAGTGTAATGTAGTGAAGTGTAGTGTAGAGAGTGTAGTGCAGTGTAATTTAGTGTAGTGGACTGTAGTGGACTGTAGTTGTGTAGTTGTAGTTGTAACCTGTAGTGTTGTGAAGTGTAGTGTAATGTAATGTAGTGTAATGTAGTGTAGTGCAGCAAAGTGTAGTGTCATGTAGTGTAGTCGAGTTAAGCGAAGCAACATCTGAACCGCCAAAAGTGGTCCGAAACCCTAGTGTTTTTAACATGTTAACTTCCAAATCTGCTTCGCGCCACAACGGCGTGCACTTTTTCGAAACTCGACATCTCAGCCTCCAAAAGTGGTCCGAACATGGTGTGGTTTGTACATTTTGACTTCGAAATGTGCTTCGCGCCACAGCGGCGTGCACTTTTTCGAAACTCGACCTCTGAGCCTCCAAAAGTGGTTCGAACCCCTGGTGTTTTGCACATTTTGACTTCGAAATGTGCTTCGTGCCACAACGGCGTGCACTTTTTCGAAACTCGACCTCTGAGCCTCCAAAAGTGGTCCGAACCCCTAGTGTTTTTAACATTTTGACTTGGAAATGTGCTTCGCGCCACAACGGCGTGCACTTTTTCGACATCTTAAGTGCCAAAAGTGGTCCGCACTTGGTGTGTTTTCTACATTTTGACTTGGACATGTGCTTCGCGCCACAACGGTGTGCACTTTTTCGACATCGCAACTTCCAAAAGTGGTCAGACCCTGGTGTGTTTTGTACATTTTGACTTGGGGATGTGCTTCGCGCCACAACGGCGTGCACTTTTTCGACATCTGAAGCGCCAAAAGTGGTCCGATCCTCTGGTGTTTTGTGCATTTTGACTTGGAAATGTGCTTCGCGCCACAACGGCGTGCAATTTTTCATGTCTCATCTCCCCATATGTCTCCGCACCCGCCGCTTTAGCGAGCCTACTTTTCGACCCTCCGGAACCACAAATCATTGGAAAAACACAGTGAATCGCGACTTTCCTACCTTTTCGCGCATCTGCATCTTCTTTCTTCTGACTCTTTCTCTTCTGAACTTTCTCTTCTCTCTGCCTCTGCCCTGCTCTGCTTTTCATCTGTCCATATTGTCGGAAGTTTAGCTTCTCAACTTCCTTCGACAATATAGTTAAAGATATGTATCTATATATATATACACATAATAATTCCATGATATATATATATATATATATACTAAATAATCTCAATATACATATAGATTCGTATATATATATATATATATATGCATACTCTACCCAGCAATTGTGGGATATTGCGCTTTGGCTAGTGGTTGCCGAAGCATAATCGCTGCCCCTTGCTCAGCATATCTAGATCATTTGGTGGATTTTCCGCAAGGGTTCCTCCAAGATATTCTCTTCAACCAAAAGACTTCGCTAATGACATTTCAATATGTTTCATATATATGTATATTCGTATATATATAGTTATCATGTATAATAACTAGAACACCTATAATGACTAGAATTACTATAATAACTAGAACATAATTATCACAACTATATTGAACCCCCCCCTTCGATTCCCCCAAGGTCCGCCTCTAAAGCCGCGTTTGCAAGAAGTCACCCCGCGGGCCCACTTTTTGCACCAAGATTCCAGCACCAGGATAGCCCTAAGTCAGTTGCTTTGGGTACATGCTGGGGTCAAAACACCACGTTTGTGAATCCCACACTGTTCTACACATGTACACACCAGAATCAACCCCATCCGCGTTGCAACAATGTGCTGCCCCCAGTTACACGTTGCCTCGCAAACCCCATAACCTGATATTTATACATATATCTAACTATATGTATGTATTTATATATATATATATATGTCTGTGTGTCTGTGTGTGTGTCGTGTCCCCCCTCCCTGAAACCTACCTTTTTGGTACCCGCCCTCGAGTCCAAGCCCAGAAGACTTTTTTCGATATCCGCCCCAACTCCACCCACGTCCGTCCGCAGCAGATATGCCTCGTTCCCTTGCTCTCTTCTCCTGTTCCAACCCACGCCTACCTTTCGATCTTTCACCCTTCCCTCTCAAGTCATTTCAGTTTCTTTCAATATCTTTCAATTTCATGACCAGCTCTATGCAGCCAAGGAAGCTTTTTCTAGTTCGCCGTCGCAGCTTTCCCCGCGATGCTCATCTCATTCACAGTACTCAGGAAACCTTCACGGTGCCTTGGCAGCCGTCAGTTTTGCCTTGGAGTCCTGCGGGAGTCTCCACGGATCTCCCCGGGGGAAAGCATGGGAAAGCCATGGGAAAGCCATCGGCAAGCCATGGAAGGCATATGGAAAGCCAATTCCTGTGCTTGTTGTGACACTGTCAGCTGAGGACGTGGTTACTTCGTTTACCGTTTTTTGGTATTTGGGTCTTTCCTTAGTGACCTTCAACAACGAACTTCACACATGGACATTGCCAGCACTTCTTCTGACATGGCTTGGCTGTGGACTCTTGGGGTCCATAGTTGTGAGTTTCTTGGCATCGCTTGGGTGACAAATATTTATATATTATATATATAATGATTATATGCATACAAATCATACAATGCAGATCAATGCAGATTATTACGTGTAATTGCCATTTGCTGGTGATCCTTTCAAGGCACTGTCTGTGGAATGGTGCAAATCCATTGTTTATTGTTTGTGCAGATGAGGCCTGGTTGTACGCTTCCTGCGGAGACTTGGCAAGAGTTGGATCAAGTTTTCACGTCAGTATAGAGTTGTGACAATCAGCAAAAGTACTAAGAGATAGAGAGAGAGAGAGAGAATCTTGCAAGTGGATCGCAGGAAACGCCTCGAATAGCGACTTTATTCAGGACTTTACCTGTGGCCCGGAAGCTTGGCGTCGTCCTGTCTTGTAGTGGGAGAAGGATAATGGAAGTGCCAAGAAGGCCGAGGGAAACAGATATATAAATCAAAGTAGCACACATGTCACGTGTCTTAAAGTTTCCACTGACATCCAGATGCCCGCTAGAATCTGCTAGCTGAGGCGAAAGTTTGGTTCGCTCCACTGTGCAGCTTGGGCTGAACAGATCAGTGCAAGGCCACACAGCGAGCCAGACTTTGGATAAGAGATGTCAGAGATGCCAGATCTGCGGAGCAGTTTGATTCATTTTGCCCAAGTTTTTGCTTTTCATCTCTAAGAGATGCAGCCCGACCAGCGGGAGCTGAATCAGTCAGACGCCTCACCACATGATGACTTATATTAAGACTACTTCTGTCTGCACCCGAAGTTCACATTTTTTTTAGTGAACAGCTCTGCTGGACATCGTTGGGGATAATTTGCGCTGCATGTGTCAGACCAACTGCTCGAATGGGTGAGGCGCTAAAAAACCCGAGGGATTGCACTGTGTTGCATCTTTGCACTCCTATTTGGATGAATCTTGGTCACCCTTTGCGCCATGCAAAAAGGTAATTTTATAAAAGAGGACAGCCTATGCCTAGGAGATTTGATGTTGTTCTGAAGCACGGCTGATCAGACTGCTGCGTTTGCAATTTTTTAGATCAATTTGAAAAGGGGCAGCATTTGACAAGAACTGAGCGACATCTTGGCAATGTCGCCTACACTTGCTAGAACTGATTGACAAGACATCATGTCCTTCAAGGGGATGCAGAATGCAGAGTGACTCACAAACAGAACAAACCAAAGCAGTCACAAAATGTCACAAATACATTATACGACACACCGTGGTACAATTGTTACACACATTATTATACGACAGCCAGCTTAGTGGACATCCCAGCTTTGGGGTGGGCACATTGATGGAAACCCAGGAAGGTCATGGCGCCATTGACTGTCATAAAACCCCAGCCAGAGGCACACCGCCATGGGTGCACAAGGGAAAAGTGAATAAAATGGCTTGAAGGAGGGATGCACTCTATGTATGTATAGTGTCCATGCATACAAAAAAATATATGTATAATACCCTCAAATACCAAGGGTCTAGAGTCTAAAGTACCGAGACCTTATGGGTTCCCATCACGGGGTCTAAGAGGTCAATTTTCTTATATACTTTAGACCTTTGACATTTTTCTTCCTTTAGACCTTTGGCTCTTTGTGTGACTGTTGCTGTCATGTGGCAGCAGATCCACATTTTTGCATGTTTTTGGTGCCAATTTTTGGCATGTTTTTTTGAATGGATCAACATCTTGGAAAAAAACACGCTAAAAATGCAGATCCTTCATGAAAAACAGAATCCTGCTCAGCGGTGACCATGCATGTTCACTTCTGTTGACATAGAAAATGTCAAATGTCAATATAATGTTCAATAACATGGTTCTTCGATTTTCTTCATTTATTTTGTAGAGACAGCTGCTTCGAGATTCTCCGACCATCTTCTTGCTAGAAGGTTTATTTCCTAGGGTCCTAGAGTTTTGTACCTGCTGTATCCTGTTCTTATTTCCTTGTGCTCTCTACCTTTGCCTGTCTTGCCCTTTTAACCTTTTTGCTGGAACGCCTTGCTTGCTTGCTTTTGTTGCCCTTCTTGTTCGAAACAGTTGCTGCTGGTGCTGGTGCTGGAAGGGGTTGAGACTGAGACGAGTTCCATCTTTCAAGAATGCTTCGGGGGGATTGGCCCAAGGAGTTCTCCTTGTGAGATTGCATGGAGACTGAACCATGCACATTCTTGGAAGAAGGGACGTAATCATGGTCACATTGCTTTCTGTGTTGCCCTTTTCTTTGCCACATGCTTTACAACTTTCATGCTTCAAACTCCAGCCACATGCTTCAAACTCACAAAGACTGCGTCGTCCACTTATCTTTTGAAACCACCTTTCTTTTGAAACATATTATCCTACCACATTACTGTCTAGCAAGACTATGCATTGGAGGAAAGATTGCCTTGCCCATGACCGTTTCAAAACTTCCTGGGCCATCAGTCTCTCCCCCTTCTTTGTTCTCCGAAAGTTCCCTGTCAAAGGGTGTTGCAGACGGATGTAGACTGCAGAAGGGATGGGGAAAAATTGCTAAGTTGGGTTACAGCTGGCCATCAGTCAGCACCTGTGGGTCTAGAATGGTTGCCTTCAAGCTCGAAACACATTTTGACGCGCATTGACCTGGGGAAGATGAATATAGACCCGCGTGCTTCTTTCCAAACGGTTTGGTTGAACCAAAAGTGCTGGTATCTAAAGAATGCGCAGAAGGATGTAGAATGTAGAAGGGGTGTCAAAGGATGGCTAAGCGCTAAGTTTGGTTATAGCTGGCCATGAGTCAGCACCCGTCTAGAATTGTTGCCTTCGGGCTTAAAAAGCACTTTCACACGCACTGACCTGGGGAAGATGCCGATAGACCCGCGTCCTTTTTTTCAACCGGCTTGGTTGAACCAAAGTGCTGGAATCTAAAGAATGGAGGTGTTGGGTGGAAGCAAGGATGCACATCATTGCAGGTTGCTCATCACAACTTGACCTGGCATTTGTACTTTCCAAACAAAATTTGTATTGTGAGAGAGGTTGTAGGTAATGGTGAGGCTCGTGTTAATTCCATAATCATATAATAATTTGTAGTATTAGGTGAAAGCATTCCATTTATCAAAACGTGATCGCCACATCCGATGCAGAGGCAGTACAAAATATGTGGCTTTTCCGACTGTTTCAACGTGTATCAGACCCGTAAACATTATATTGATATTGTATAGCTGCTTCCTGCTGTTTGAATGTTGGGCGGGCCCGCCAGGAACCCCTGCGGACGTACTCTAGCTTTTCTGTTTCTTCTATTAATTCAAGCCCGCGTGTAAATGTGGGTGCCGCATGCTGCATATATCTGCATGGATATGTGTATATATATAATATTAAGTTGAATGATGTGCTGTCGACCTGTGAGTAGCTCATTGTTCTTCTTAAAGTCAGCCAGCCAAAGACTTATGACAAACTCAAAGGTACAGTACAGTAAAGAACGAAGTCAACTTAGGGCCAAAGACGGGGGGGGCATAGCCGCTTGTAATATGATGAATATGCCGTAATATGTAATTTTGTAATTTAAGTATATGTTGATCCACTCAATACAGTGGCAGCCTTGGGCAGGCTGTTGAGTTTCGTTTTGCACGAGATGGCATTCGACTTAGTTTCAGCTTGTCCTGGTAACTATTCATACGGCCAGAAAACATTATGCATGAGCGTATCGTAGGTCTGCAGGGGCAAGAGAAACCTGCTCAAGATTGCTTTATCGAAGGAAGTTTAGCAGTGAAACTTCCGACAATATGGGCACATGGAAAAGCAGAGGTGGGAAGAGTCAGAGAAGAGAAGAGTAGAACAGAGAAGATCAGAGCAGAGAAAGGGTGAGAAGAAAGAAGATGCAGGTGCGCGAAAAGGTAGCAAAGTCGCGAAACAACCTGTTTTTCCAATGATTTGTGGCTCCGGAGGGTCGAAAAGTAGGCTCGCTAAAGCGGCGGGTGCGGAGCCATGTGGCCAGATGAGAGATGAAAAATTGCACGCCGTTGTGGCGCGAAGCATATTTGCAAGTGAAAAAGCTTAAAACACCTGACGTTCGGAGCACTTTTTGAAGTTGAGATGTCGAAAAAGTGCACGCCATTATGGTGCGAAGCACATTTGCAAGTGAAAAAGCTAAAAACCTCCGACGTTCGGACCACTTTTGGAAGTTGAGATATCGAAAAAGTGCGCGCCGTTGTGACCTGAAGCACATTTCGAAGTCAAAAGTATTAAAAGCTGACAGGGTAGGAGCACTTTTGGAAGTTGAGATGTTGAAAAAGTGCACGCCGTTGTGGCGCGAAGCACATGTCGAAGTCAAAATGTACAAAGCACACCACTCTCAGAACACTTTTGGCAGCTCAGATGTCGAAAAGCTACACGCCGTTGCGGAACGAAGCACATGTCGAAGTCAAAATGCACAAAGCTGCACACCATTCTCGGAGCACTTGTGGACGTTCGGATGTCGTTTTGCGTGGCAGGCACAAGGGATTCTGCACCTTGCCAAAAGTGAGCAAAACGTGAGGGTTTTGTAGCATGTTCAAAAGCGTTGGCAGGCGTGGGACATGTGAAGAAGATCCGCAAAGATGGATTTCGCCTGGCAGGCGCAATACAAGAGACATGTTCATCAGAGATGTCAGGAGGTCAAGGCGCTGATTTCCTGAGAGGTTGCATTTTGGAGCATGAGATCTTCAAGTTTGCTAAGGTGATTTGGTGACAGGTGCAGCACTTCGTATGACCTGGCTTCACTTCTTCGTGGCAGGTGCAATACTTTAGAGACACGGACTGGAAAAATCGCAAAACGCATAGGCACGAGGCCGTCAGCTCTGCAATCAATTTTCCATTATTGAAGGAAGTCTCCCAGAATTGCTTCGTTTTTCGATGCTGTCAACTTCGAAAATTGAGGAAGTCTCGCAGAATTGCTTCGTTTTCAAGCTTGCAGATAGACAGATAGATAGACAACTACAACTACCACTGCGCTACACTACACTACACTACTGTTACAACTACAAATACAAATGCTATACAAATATACCAAGCTACATTGCACTACACTAGTTAGACTACAGTGCGCTAATTACACTACACTACCCCACACTACACTACATTACAGTACACTACACTGCACTACACTACACTACACTACACTAATTACACAACAACAACAGCAACAACAGCAACAACAACAACTACAACTACAACTACAACCGCAACTACAACTACTACTTCTACCCCTACCACTACCACTACTATAACCAGTAAAACTAGTATAACTAGTGTAACTGCTACAACTAGCATAACTAGTATAACTAGTACAACTAGTATATTTAGTATAACTTGTATAACTAGTACACCTAGTATATTTAGTATAACAAGTATAACAAGCATAGCAAGCATAACAAGTATAACAAGTATAACAAGCATAACAAGCATAACAAGCATAACAAGCATAACAAGCATAACAAGTATAACAAGTACAGCAAGTATAGCAAGTATAGCAAGTATAGCAAGTATAACAAGTATAACAAGTATAACAAGTATAACAAGTATAACAAGTATAACAAGTATAACAAGTATAACAAGTATAACAAGTACAACAAGTACAACAAGTATAACAAGTATAACAAGTATAACAAGTATAACAAGTATAGCAAGTATAACAAGTATAACAAGTATAACAAGTATAACAAGTATAACAAGTATAACAAGCATAACAAGTATAACAAGTATAACAAGCATAACAAGTATAAAAAGTATAACAAGTATAACAAGTATAACAAGTATAACAAGTATAGCAAGTGTAACAAGTATAACAACAACTACAACAACAACAACAACTACTACTACTACTGCTACTGCTACTACTACTACAACAACAACAACAACTACTACTACTATTACTTCTATTACTACTACCGCGAATACTACCACTACTACTACTATTACTACTACCACTACTACTATTATTACTACTGCTTCTACTACCACTAATACTACTACTACTACTACTACTACTACTACTACGACTACTACGACTACTACGATTACTACGACTACTACGACTACTACGACTACTACGACTACTGAGACTACTGAGACTACTACGACTACTACGACTACTACGACTACTACGACTACTACGACTACGACTACGACTACTACTACCACTACTACCACTACTACCACTACTGCTACTACTACTGCTGCTGCTGTTACTACTACTACTACCACTACTACTACTACTACTGCTACTACTACTGCTGCTGCTGTTACCACTACTACTACTACCACTACTACTACTACTACTACTACTAGTACTACTACTAGTACTACTACTAGTACTACTACTAGTACTACTACTAGTACTACTACTAGTACTACTACTAGTACTACTACTAGTACTGCTACTGCTATTGCTACTGCTAATGCTACTGCTACTGCTACTGCTGCTGCTGCTGCTACTACTACTACTATTACTACTACTACGACGACGGCCACAACTACAACTACAACTACAACTGCAACTACAACTACAACTGCGCTACAGCTACAACTACACTGCGCTACACCACGCTGCATACAGCTGCAACCATTGCAACCATTCAAAAAAAAACACAACTCCAACCACCTTTCGGTCCATCAGTGGATGCGCTCTGCCATCCGTGATTCACAACAACCAACCTCTCCTATAGGTTTCCCATTTCTGAAACTTCCGCCGCCGCCTTGTGCGGTACTACTGGTTTAATTTTAAATATGTTTATCGCATCAGTGTGCATTGGCGTTCTACTTCTTCAGTGGCTGAGGTTCTCTGACTGCATGGGTGCGGCTTCAGAATGCGTGGCTTGACCAAAGATTGCTCTCACCATTGCATGATTGCTGAAAGTGTTTCTGCAATCCAATGAGCCCATTGCGCATGATATGCCATTCACTTGAAGACTGTTCAGGTGGGAAGGGCAGGTGGCCTACAAGATGAAAACAACATCGCCAAAGGAGTACACCATCAAGTTGGCCCTCAGACGTCTTCAGCATATGCTCTGCACACTCCACTTAGCACTCCACTGGTTTTATCTTACTTTTTGCCCGGCCTGTTTGCTGCAGCCTGAAATGTGCTGTGCTTTCGAGGCCTGCGTCTGGTTCAATCCGAATGGGAGAGTTCCATGATGTGTGGCCCTGACACGTTTGGAAAATCCGAATTCAGCTCTAGCATGCTCTAGCTTCTGTGATCATGTAATATTATGTATGTGCATGCTATATGTATATAAAGTTATTTATTTATATAATAACGGAATGTGCGCACACAGACATTTACGTGCATGCATGCATGCATGCATACATACACACACACATACATGCATGCATGCATGCATGCATACATACATACATACATACATACATACATACATAC